AATAAAATAAAATAAAAATTAAATCAAGAGCCCATACTGCTTTTGCAAAGGATCTGAGTTTGGTTTCCCAGCACCCACAGCAGATGATTCACAACCACCTGTAACTCCAGCTCTAGGGGATCCAACACCCTCTTTTGGACTCAACAAGGTGCCAAGACTATTCCTTGGAGAAAAGAAATCTGAGTGTTGAGATAACTGGATATCCACATGAAAAAAAATAGTATGATCCCTGCCTCATACCATGTACAAAATATTAAAGATTATCAAACACTAAAAGACTGTATTTACCTCAGTGAGAATTCTGGCCTATCACACATGAGGACCTGGCTTTGAGACCCAGAACAGGATGAATGAAGCAAAAAGATTGTCATGGTGCTACACATACCTGAAATTCCACCATTTAGGAGGCTAATGCAGAAGGAGTTTGAGTTTCATCCTCGCCTGAACTATATAGCAAGATCATTTCTTAATAATTAAATAATATCAAAGACATAAAGAACTAAGACTATTAAAATGCCTTGAGAGAACATAGGTACATTGTGTTTGTCAATGTTTTTTTAGATATGATTCCAAAAACACAAACAACAAAAGAAAAGAAGATAAATTACATATCACGAAAACCTAAGATCTTTGTGTTTCAAGAAAGTTAAAAAGATTACTCAAAATGGAAAAAAATTCCAATTCATATATCCGATAAAGAATTTATATCTAGCATATAGATATGCTATATACATATATACATATATAGAATATATAGATATATTGGTGAGGAACTATTGGCATACCTGCAGCTCAATGATTATAAAGGGGCTGGAGAGATGACTCAGTAAAGTACTTGATGTGCAAGCCTAATAATCTGAATTTTAATCCCAGAACCCACATAGAGGAGGAAGAGGAGAACTGGCTCCACAAAGTTGTCCTCTGACTTCCACATGTACAACATGACACACATGTGCCCTCCACACACACACACACACACACACACACACACACACACACACACATGCTCATACATTTAAATAAAAATGAAAAGTAAAGCTAGCTCAGCAGTTAAGAGTATTTGCTGCTCTTTCAGGGCACCCAAGTTTGGATTCCAGCACCCATATCAGGCAGCTCGCAATCTCCTATAACTCCATTTTCAGAGGATCTGTCACCCTCTCTGGCCTCTGTGGATCCCCCACATGTGGCACACACACACACACACACACACACACACACACGCACACACGCACACAAATGAAAATTAATCTTAAAGAAAGCCAATGGGATACTGCTTCATATCCTGTAGAATGTAGGTGGCTGTAAAGTGGTTGGGCAATAAAAAAAAATGCTAGCAACGATGTGGGGAAATAAAACTCTTTATAAACTACAGGTTGGAATGGAAAACAGTGCATCTGCTCTCAGTCTGGTGCTTCTTCAAAAGGCTGAACACAGAACTAGCATGTTACACAGCAATTCCAGTCCTGGGCATATACTCAAAAGAAAATATGTCTCCATGAAAACTTGTACAGAAATGCTTATAACAGCATTGCTCACCAGAGCTGCAATGCTCATCAAGTGATGGATGCATACACACGTGGAATATCCATACAATTTAAAATTATTTCATAATAAAAAATGAGATATTGGTATATGCTACAACATGGGAGAACCATGAGAATATAACGATAAGAAAGAAGCCAGTCACAAAGGACCACACAGTGTAGAAATCCACTTCTATGAAGTACCCAGAAGAGAGAAATTCATAGAGATTAGTATCATTTAGAGAGCAGATTAGGAATAGCATATGGGGGTAGAGGGTTATGGCTAAAGGATGTGGTGCTTTGGGTTTTTAATTAATTAGTTAATTTAGTGTTTGAATGTTTTGCCTGCATGTATGTGAGTGCATTATGTGCATGCAATGCCCACATAGGCCAGAAGAAGGCATCAGATCCCCTGGAACAGGAGTTGCAGACAGCTGTTAAGTGCCATGTGGGTGCTGGGAACCAAACCTAGCCTCTGCAAGAACAGCCAGTGCTCTTAACCACTGAGCCATCTCTCAAGCCTCATGTGCTCTGTTTTAAGGTGATAAAATGTAAATTGGGGGACTGGAGAGATGGATCAGTGGTTAAGAACACTGACTGCTCTTGCAGAAGACCTGGGTTCGAATCCCAGCACCCACATGGCAGCTAACAACCATCTGTAACTCCAGTTCCAGGAGATCCAACAGCCTCTCTGTCTTCTACAGGCATTGCACGACACGGGTGCTCTTACCTACATGCAGGCAATACACGCATACACATAAAAAAATGTTGTAAATTGATTGTGGTGATGATTATACAACTCTGGATATACATTACATTGTTGAAATTTTTAATGGTGTGTGAATTGTATTTCTTTTTGCTTTGCTTTTTATATTTTTAAGAGCAATTATAGTTCAATAAAGCTTTAAAAAATAATTACAGAACATATCTGACAGTTCATTTGTATTGTCATGAATCCAAACAGAAATGCTTGTGTATACGATATGGGTGATAGAGAAGTTAATGGTGAGAAGTTTGGTGTGGCCTAAAGTACAGGATATAAAACCTTTATTTTGAATTAACTCTTTGGGATGCTGTTAATGGACTTAGACTTGTATGACTTGGGCTGGGTATGGTAATTCCAACTAGCCTAGTGCTGTTCAATATAGAAGCCATTAGCTACACAAAATCTTTGAGTACCTGATATGTGAGTAGCCCCTTTGAAATGAATAAAACAAACTAGACTTTGAAGACTTGGAATATATGTGTGTGTGTGTATATATATATATATATATGTATATATATAGGTTTATGTTAATTGTGTGTTGAAATAATATTTTAATATAAGCTAAATAAAATATTTAAAAATTTAAAAAGCCATATTCTATGAAAATTGAAGTTCTTCCAGGGAAGAGTGGCTGTATTGCTATGTAGGTATGTATATTTCCAAGTTTACGTTTGTTCAAGGTTTATCTGTTCAGAAGAAAACAGAGGCAAGTGGGCAGCTCACAGTGGGGTGTGGGGTGAGCTTAGGGGAAAGCAGGGTGCTAGGATGTTAACGTGCTTTGCCTGATTCTCCACTTTTGCTCCATTTCCTTTTTTAAATAGATTATCTTTTATTTATTATTTAGCAATTTCATACATGTAAGCAACGAATCTTGATCACATGTCTCTAACCCCTCCCTTTCACTTCCCCTAGGAACCTGCAGCACATTCCTTCCCCCTTTCATGTCCTCTCCATTTTTTTTTTTTCTGTAACCCACTGAGTCCAATTAGTACTGCCTGCTGGGATGTTGGCTGATCTTGTTGATTTGATCTTGTACAAGTAACCATAGCTCCGGTGAGTTCATGAGTGCTATGGCCAAGTTCTGTCCGGAAGGCAGCATCTCCCAGCACTCCTCCCTATCCTCTGACTCTTTCATTCTTTCTGCTCCCTCTTCTGTGATGTTCCCTGAGTTTTGAGGAAAGGGGTTGATATAGGTGTCCCATTTAGGACTGAACATGTACAAAATATTAAGGATTAATATTAATACTATGGAATAGTAACTTATTTTTGGCACTTTGACCAGTGAAAGTCTCTACATTAACTGTTGACCATTTTAGAGAGAAGCTTGTTGGCCAAGGTTGAGGGCAGCACTAATTTATGTACATAAACATAAATGTAGTTTGTCCATTTAGCAAGACAATGGTAGTAGGTTCCCTTTTAGGCCCTATAACCTCCCAAGCCATGGGCTTTTGACCTAGTTTACAGTACCAGATATGACTTCCTTCCTGTGGAGCAGGTCTCAGCTCCAGTCCAAAAGCAGTTGGTTACCCCCATAACCTTTGTGCCACTATTGTACCAGTGGGCACATCTTCAGGCATTTCTTTAGACCTGAGTTTGTAAGATTGGTGCCTTTGGGAGCGAAGAACTGAATTCTCAAAGGCACCCCCTATCTTTAGTTATGAGTTTAACTCATAAAGGGAAGAAGTGATGTATGTGTAGGAGGTGGAGGGGTGTGTTTCATTTTTTTCAGTTTCAGAAATATATTTAGTTACACATTTTCCCGATTAAACAAATTTTGAGAGAGGGAACAGAGACAGACAGAAAATTATAGGTCAAAAAAAGTCCCGGGGCTCTTAGTTTAGGGAAGTGAACCTTGTTTTCTGTGTAGTAGAAAAGCTGATTACAGTAGAGAATTGTGGAGGGAGAAAAGTTTTGATGTTTCCACATTCATATTGTGACTGGACACATGGACTATGGGGATGAGAACAAGCAGAGGCAGTTGGCATTCCTTAGCTGTATTTTTCCATTTGTTGTTTTGTTTTAGTTGTTTTATGAGTAGAGTCATTGGGATGGCTTCCTCGAGGTTGTTGACCAAAACCAACCCCCAGGAGGCAACTTGGACCTTACCTGAGAAAACAGAGCCCTGCTGACATGTTTTTCACACACAGTCTTAAAATCTCATATTTTGAAGAAAGTTAAAAATATCAATGGAAAAATTTTGCATTAAGTTACATCTGGAAACCAGTAGTCCAAAAGATGTAATTAGCATTAACTATATAACTGGCTCTTGGATTATCTTTCCTCTTTATGAGGAAAAAACGTTGTTGCAAAAGTTTTATCCTGTCCCCTACCTCTTTCTGCTCAGCCATTGGACAATGGACTGATCAAAAGGCCAGAGGAAAAGCAAATCTGGTGAGACACACCAGACCTAGGTACCCGGCGCTGTCACAGCCACCATGTAAGTATTTAGGATTCAGCTAATAACAATCTATGAATTACTAACACTGCTACCTTCACTGCAGTAGTGTAGACAATGAGGCCCTGTAGTGAAATACAGAGCCATAAAAATGTGGTTCCATTTGAGTACAGGAGTGTGAATTAGCCGGCAGTCTATTCTACATAGGAACAGAATAAGCGTTCACTGAGTATGTGGTGTAATTCCAGTGAGTATCAGTAGGTGGCAGTAAAGAGCCTCATCTTTCAAAGTTGAAAGTGGTTAGCAATTAAATGTTCAAGGAAGTGCTTGAATTTCTTACACACTGACAAACGGAACAGACAGCAAGTTGTCCTGGTAAGCAACATCTTATTTTATTCTATTAAAAGAAATAAGGGCAGTGTTAGTTTTGGGATGTGGAAATTGCTAAAGTCTCTTTGACCAAGTCTTGAGTAGTTCTCCAAGTGGGTTATATTTCTTATATATACTTACTATAAGGTTTGAAATTAACATTAACATTGTTCAACTCTTGTCCTAAATCAGAGAAAAAAATTTCCCCTTGTGTGATTTGGTTTTTATTTTTTTTGTTTGTTTGTTTTGTTTTTGTTTTATTTATTTTAATTTTATGTGTATGAGTGTATTGCCTGCATGTACGTGAGTGCACCCGTGTCATGCAATGCCACTGCAATCAGAAGAGGGCTTCGGATTCCCCTGGAACTCGAGTTAAGGACGGTTCGTAACCATCATGTGGGTGTTGGGAATTGAACCCGGGTCCTCTGCAAGAGCAGTCAGTGTTCTTAACCACTGAGCCATCTCTCCAGCCCCATGTGATTTGTGTTTAAGAGATTTTATTTTAGTTTACTTAAGATGATGACTATTTGGGTCACAGATAAGTTTTCTGGTTTCAAACATAACTGCTAATTGTTGGTCGATGACCTTCCACTCCCCTTGTTCCCCCCACCCAGCCCACTGGCCCCTATCCATATTCTTCAAGATGAAAATATTTAGGAAAAAGGGATGCTGTGGCCCACACATATAGGAGTGTATCTTCCAAGAGTCTATATGTTGGAATGAATCCCCTCTGTGCGTTATTAAGAGGGTAGCATTTGGAGGTTGGCCTTTGGGAGGTGATGAAGGTTAAATAAGATCAAAGGGTGGAGCCTCAGGATTGACTACTGAATGCTTAATTGAAACAGGAGAGTGACCAGATGTACACGTGCCCCCATCTCTTGCCATGGGATGCCGTTGCTGCACTGGGATCCTGCTAAGCAAGAAAGTCATTACCAGATATGGCCCCCTTGACTGTGGACCAGAACTGTAAGTCAAAATAAACCTCTTTTCTTTATCAAGTAGTCTGCCTCAGGTACTTCATTATGCCAATCCAAAGGGTAAGCCAACTTCTGTAGAAAGTGCTGTGGTACAACCCTTGGTTTCTTTTAGTTTTAGGTTTGCTCTATGTTATTCTTACTAAGTATTCTTGTCTACTTCCTCAGATCACTCAAACTGTGCTGCAGACCTAGAAATCAAGGTGGAGCTGTAGGTTTTGGTCAATGCTTCTTTGCAACAAAAAGCAAAAGTTCATGAAACTACAAAGAAAACCAGACTGAAAAGCTTTTGAACTTTGTCCTGTCCTGTTAGTCTCTGGTTAGTAGTCAATTGCTCTGGTATGGAGAAAATGCTTGGTAAGTTGAACTTGGTATCCTTGAACTTAAAGCACCAGATTATGTTGTAAGTACTATCCCTTAAAACCAGTCAACCCTGATTTGACCCCTCCAGAGTTTCCAAACAAAGGCACTTCAAATGTATTGCTTACTTGTAGCATATGAAGTCAGGCTAAATTTGTCTTAATTGTAAAAATTGAGGTTAAGAGCACTGACTGCTCTTGCAGAGGACCTGGGTTTGATTCCAGCACCCACATGGCAGCTGTGAACCGTCCTCAACTCCAGTTCCAGGGGAATCTGAAGCCCTCTTCTGACCTCCACGGCATTGCACAACCAGGTGCACTCACGTACATGCAGGCAATACACTCATACACATAAAATTTAAAAAAAAATTTTAATTGATGTAAACATATTTGAAGATATTTTTTGCTTTTAAAGCGCCCTTTCACAGTTCAATGAACAACCTATTCTTTTATTTTTTGGTGAAATGGTTTTGAGGCTCTAAAACAGAGGAAAGTCAGTGACTGTCATTAAGACTTTGATCAACAAATATTTTGGATTTTTTAGTTTTATTTTTGGTTTTGCTCAACAAATATTTTGGAAGGGCATGATGGTACACACCTGTAACCTCAGTAGTCTGGAGACTGAAACAGGAAGATCACTGCAAGTTTGAGGCCAGTCTGATCTACATAGCTAGGTAAGGAGTTCTCAGACAGCCAGGGGTACATAGGGAGACCCTGTCTCAAAAACTAAAACAAAACCAATAACAACAAAAATTTTTGTTTGACTTAGGAAATTTAGACATTGATTTAGCAAGCGTGGAATCTAAAATTTATAGATCCTATAAATATCTAAAATCATTTCTTTATGTATATATTACTTTGATTTATTTTTTTCCATTTATTGTGTGTGTGTGTGTGTGTGTGTGTGTGTGTGTGTGACATGTGAGGAATCAGGAGACAATTTATAAGAGTCAGTGCTCTCCTTCTGTCACATGAGTCCCAGGTGTTGAACTCTGGTTGTCAGGCTTGGTGACAAGTACCTTTACCCACTGAGCCATCTTGCCGGCCCTAATACTTTTATTTCTTAATTAGAGAAATGAAAATGGGTTTCTTAAACTGAGTGGTTCAAATAAATGACTTGAAATGAAAAGGCAAGATGAGAGCTGGGCTTTTGTTTTAATTAGATATAAAGATATTAGAGTTCATTGACTTAGCCAGGAATAAAACTGAAATGTGCTTTTATCAAATGCTTGAGGACAGGCAGAAACAGGCAGATTTGAATGTTTTGAGGTAGTTTGCTGTTAAGGGAACAAGGATGCATCTTGTTTGTGGTGGCCTCTGTGCACTGAGCACTCATGTATGTGGATGCTTGTGTGCCCCACTCTTCACATTTCAGACTTGACAGTACTGATCACTGCTTCCTTGAAGTCTGGGCTTGGCCAGAAGTTAGAAAAGTCTAGGATTTAGATTTTCTCATGAAATTAAGTAGGGAAGCCCACTTGAGCTGAACTATGTTTACTTTGACCTGGCTGTAACATGTAATTCTATTCTGAGATACTGAGCCCTGGCCCAGGAAGCAAATGGATATTACTTTGATGCTCATTGTCTAAATAAGACTGGGCTGCCAGAACAACTGCGGTGCTTATGAACAATAAAATCTTGGCCTGGGGTTGTAGCCCAGTGGTGAGAGCTTGCCTGGCCTGCACAAGGCCCTGAGTTTGATCCTTGGCACAACACACACACATACATAAACAAACAAACAACAACAAAACAAGAGAAATTTATTCTGACAGTTCTAGAAGCTAAAAGCCCAAGATGAGAGTACTATATCCTCTGGGTCTGGTGAAGCCCTCTTTTAAATTGCAGATGGCCAACTTCCTGTATCCTCATGGAAGAGAGACAGCCAGAGAGCAAAGTCCTTGTTATAGGGACACTGATCCCATTCAAAGGACTTCCACCTTCATGACATCATCATTATTATTATTATTATTATTATTACTACCTTTCTAAGGTTTCACGTCCTAATCCCATCCCATTGAGGATTAGTTTCAACATATGCCTTTCAGGGACACATTTGGCCCCTGATGCCCATTTAAATGCTCTTCTCTTTTAGAAAGCTGAAACTGAATAATTGGGAAATTTCTGGGCCCTTCCAAGTAGAGTCAATGGTACAAAAACACCAGCTTTATATTTCACATGAGCCTTAATGCAGTGCCATCTTTCTTCTCAGAGTCTTTGTGAATGCACCCAGTGAAGAAATCAGGATAATTGGCATATTGCTGGACATTCCTACAAAAAGGTAAGTCTAGGCAAAGCTTGGAAAAAGCAAAGAGGTTTGCATGTCTAGCTGGGGAACTTTTTTTTTAAGCCCAGGGCTATTTCTGAGAGTTGATTTGTTTAGATCTATCCACGTTTATTTGACATATGGCAGGGGCTATGTGGACAGGAATTTGGCACTTTGTTAGTACTGGTGGCTTGTTTTTCTAATGACATTATAATTTTTATAAAAAATAATAAATTCATCAAAAGAGCTGTGTAGCTGTACAGCCTGAATTAAAAGGGCCTCTGAGGTGAATTAAAAGGGCCTCACTAGGGTTCACCTCAACACAACTCCTCTGTGTGCCACTGGGAAGGTGATGACAGGAAAGTATCTGAGCTAGTGTGTAGGTTGATACCTAGAGCAATAGGCATGGCCCTGAACAATGTCTAGCTCTTCAGAGGTAAATATGCGTATTTGGTGAATGAATGAAAAAGATTTTCTGTAATTTCCCATTCTCAGACCCCTCCAATGAATGAAAAAGATTTTCTGTAATTTCCCATTCTCAGACCCCTCCAATGCCCCAGTTCCTCATGACTCTTAGATCTGTGGGGGTTTGAATGAGAAATGCCCACCGCAGGCACATGTGTTTGAATAGTTGGTCCTCAGTTGCTGGCACTATTGGGGAGGTTATGGAACCTTTAGGAGGTGCAGCCTTGCTGGAGGAGGTATGACGCTGGGGTGGGCTTTGAGGTATATAGCCTTGCCTTGTGTGATCTTGACCTAATGTCTCTTGTCTTTGCTCACCCCATGCTACTACTGACCTCACCCTTCCTCAGACCAGTGAGGCTCAGGCCTATCTCACGATATGTATTTGCCTTTTCCTTTGCTAGAAGCATTCTTCCCTTAGATCTTCCTACTGGTGACTCTTTTGCTTCCTTCTGGTTTCTACTTTAGGATCATCTCAAACAGCCTTTGTCTAGTGAATCAATCAAAAATAGTTATCCAGCATCATCTCAGACCTACAGTTACCCTGCTTCATTTTTCTATATTGTACTTACTACTACATGAACTTAAACTTGGCCATGTATTAACGAGACTTTGTTTTGAGAGCTAAGACTTTGACTTCTTTACTGTTCTGTGTCCAGACCCTAAATACGGCCAGTGGGTGACCAACAAATACTGGTTGAATAAATAAATGGACGAATGAATGAATCTTCAGAAAGACCTTTTATTGTGATCTTTATTGTCTTTTGAATAATAGCAAAGTTAGGCCCAAACCATGTGGAAGTAATAATAAGGAATGCAAGAGAAGGTCTGACTCGGTCACATGGGTGAATGCTTAAGAAAGTCATGCAACTCCTGACCCTTTCATGTCTCATCCTGGGTTCTAAATGAGTCTTTGAGAAGGTCAGGGCCAGGGGAGTTTCCATGAACCATCTGTGTTCAATTCCTATGGCTGCTGCAACAAATGATTGTGAATTTAGTGACTTAAAGCAACAGAAATTTATTCTGGAGACCAAAGGTTTTACAAAGTCAAGGCATCAGCAGGGTTGTGGTCTCTCTGGAACCTCCTCCATCTCCATCCATATAAAAAATTGTTTAGGGCTGGTAAGATGGCTCAGTGGGTAAAGGTGTTTGCTGCTAAGTCTGATGACTTGAGTTCAATTCCTGGGTCCTACATGGTGGAAGGAGAGAACTGACTCCTACAAGTTATCCTCTAATCTACACACACACACACACACACACACACACACACACACACTAAATAAAGTGGAATAAAAGTTAAAAGTTGTTTGGTTAGAGTTCATATTATCTCTATCTATCTATCTATCTATCTATCTATCATCTATCTATATAATTTATCTTCCTAGTTTTGGGTTGTATGATTTCAAAGAATGTAGATTAGACTTATGAATCTTTAATAATAATTTTATGCTTAATTTAATATAATTATTTAATGTTGATCTTTTCTAGGATCTATATCTGTGTCAAGATGCTCTGAGGAATAGCAGTCACCTTATGAATGTCTAGCATTACACCATGACTAAAACTAATTCCATCATCTTCTATTTTATCGTGGTCTTCATGTTAATACTTCTCAACTTCCAAGTATCTGATGAAAGTGAGTTTATAGTTGTGAGGTCAAAAGCAGGCCTCACCTGTGTTCCCAAGGACCTGCCCTTGGAAACAACCACCTTAGATGTATCACAAAACTATATATCTGAGCTTCAGACCTCTGACATCGTATCATTGTCCAAGCTGAGGATTCTGATAATGTCCTACAATAGAATCCAGTATCTTGATATCAGTGTTTTCAAATTCAGTACAGAACTGGAATACTTGGATTTGTCCCACAACAAACTGGAGGTGATTTCTTGCCACCCTACAGTCAACTTCAAGCACTTGGATCTCTCATTCAATGCATTTGATGCCCTGCCCATATGCAAAGAGTTTGGTAACATGCCTCAGCTAAAATTTCTGGGATTGAGTGCTATACAGTTACAAAAATCTAGTATGCAGCCAATTGCTCATTTGAACATCAGTAAAGTTTTGCTAGTTTTGGGAGATAATTATGGGGAAAAAGAAGACCCTGAGAGTCTTCAAGACTTTAGCATAGAGAATCTACATATTGTTTTCCCCATGAAAAAGGAATTTCGTTTTATGTTGGATGTTTCAGTAAGCACTGCAGTAAGTTTGGAACTGTCTAATATCAAATGTGTGGTAGATGACATTGAGTGCTTTTATTTCTTAAGTGCTTTGGCAAAGCTTCGAAAGAATCGGAGGCTATCAAATCTCACCTTAAACAATGTTGAAACTACATGGAATTCTTTTATTGCTATCCTCCAGTTGATTTGGTATACACCTGTAGAGTATTTCTCAGTTTCAAATGTGAAACTACAAGGTCAACTTGCCTTCAGAAATTTTGATTATTCTGACACTTCTCTGAAGGCTTTGTCGATATATCAAGTTGTCACTGATGTGTTCAGTTTTCCACAAAGTAACATATACAGGATCTTTTCCAACATGAATATCCAAAACTTCACAGTGTCTGGAACACGTATGATCCACATGCTTTGCCCATCTCAAGTTAGCCCATTTCTGTATTTAGATTTTTCTAATAACCTCTTAACAGACATGGTTTTCACAAGCTGTGGAAGCTTAACTAAGTTGAAAACACTTAGTTTACAAATGAATCAGTTAAAAGAACTTGCAAAAATAATTCTTATGACTAAGGAGATGACATCTCTACAAAAACTGGACATTAGCCAGAATTCTCTAAGATATGGTGATGATGAAAACAGCTGCTCTTGGGCTAAAAGTTTGCTAATTTTAAATATGTCTTCAAATACATTGACTGGCTCTGTTTTCAGATGCTTACCTCCTAGGGTCAAGGTACTTGACCTTCACAATAACAAAATAACGAACATCCCTAAAGATATCACCCACCTACAAGCTTTGCAAGAGCTCAATGTTGCATCTAATTCTTTAACTGACCTTCCTGGATGCGGGGCCTTCAGCAGCCTTTCTGTGCTGGTTATTGACCATAATTCAGTTTCCCACCCCTCAGCCGATTTCTTCCAGACCTGCCAGAAGATTAGCTCCATAGCAGCAGGGAACAACCCATTCCGATGTACATGTGAGCTGAGAGAATTTGTCAAAAAAATAGGCCAAGTATCAAGAGAAGTGGTGGAGGGCTGGCCTGATTCTTACAAGTGTGACTACCCAGATAGCTCCAAGGGAACCCCACTGCAGGACTTTCACATGTCTCCACTGTCCTGCAATACTGTTCTGCTGACTGTCACCATCGGGGTCACCATGCTGGTGTTGGCTGCCACTGTGGCCTTCCTCTGCCTCTACTTTGACCTGCCCTGGTATCTCAGGATGTTGTGTCAGTGGACCCAGACCCGGCGCAGGGCTAGGAACATTCCCTTAGAAGAACTCCAGAGAAATCTCCAGTTCCATGCCTTTATTTCATATAGCAGCCACGATTCTGCCTGGGTGAAGAGTGAATTATTACCAAACCTAGAAAAAGACGATATCAGGATTTGCCTCCATGAGAGAAACTTTGTCCCTGGCAAGAGCATTGTGGAAAATATCATAAATTTCATTGAAAAGAGTCACAAGTCCATCTTTGTATTGTCTCCCCACTTCGTCCAGAGTGAGTGGTGCCATTATGAACTCTACTTTGCCCATCACAATCTCTTCCATGAAGGGTCTGATAACTTAATCCTGATCTTGCTGGAACCCATCCCACAGTACTCCATTCCTAGCAGCTACCATAAGCTCAAAACTCTCATGGCACGGAGGACTTATTTGGAATGGCCCATGGAGAAGAGCAAACATGGACTTTTTTGGGCAAATCTAAGAGCATCCATTAATGTTAGGTTGATAGACTGAGCAGAAGAAATAAATCACACACAGGGCTAAAATAATATTCTTATCATTGTTGCTACTTTTGGAAGTTCTAATAATGCTGTTATTTTTCATCAACATGAAGTTAAAATGATTTTGACTTTATGGAGCAGTAAATAATGTGTGCTTTTAAACTCTAGTTTACCATTTGTGTGTGGGAATAAAAAATACTAGAATGCACTAATTTTGGTTTTAAACCATTAATTTCAAACATATATTCTTTGCTGTAACTAAATTCATTGACTTTATCATGAAATCAGCCGTGGAGATGAATGTTTCTATGTGCCAGGGTTAACAGAAGAGAACTCTGGCTCCTAATTCACTTTGCGTTGGTTTTCCCTTTCTTCTTTGTGGATTCACTCTTCTGAATCTCTTCATGCTTGGGCCCTGATAGTACTTTTCTATACAAATAGCCTGTATATAAAGCTCTTGTCTCAGTCTCCACTTAATTTGAGGAGTTGAAGGGTGGAGGGTAACATATGCTGTATGTTACTGAATATACTACTAGTTTATTTTTGTAAAAAACTTCAGTGAATCAGAGAAACTTGTAGGTATCCAAGTACTTAAAGACTAAGGAAATAAAACCATAAAGTGGAAATTCACAGATCATTTCTTTTGGTCATCTTAGAAATGATAGGTTTTCCATGGGTCTTGAAGGAAGACTCTGACTTTGGGTTTTCAGTGTACAATGATGATGAACAGAAAGACCATTCTTATAAATGAAGAGAACAAAGGCAGGAATACCCAGATTTATTCTGGGACTAGTGTTCTAGTTTGACTGAATACTAGTTTGTAAAAAAAAATGAGACTAGTATATAAGCATAGAGAGTTATATAAAACCACATTGTAGTCAGCCATGGTGCATGCCTGTAATCCCAGCAGTTGGAGGCTGAGGCAGGAGGCTCCTGAATTTCAGGTCAGCCTGGGCTACATAGTCAAGGAGGAGGTGGAGAAAGAGAAGGAGAAAGAGAACTGTACTGTCAAGGATCTTGATTAAGCAACATAGCTAAAACTTGGGGATATAGGAAACACAGCTCACAGAAGTGAGAGGTGACTATAAACTGTGAAACATGGAACATCTGAAAACATGTGAAGCATATGAAGGTGATTATTCTGTGATGGAGTTGCAACAACTGGATTTTCCCAGTTTCTCTAGGATAACTACACTTCCCATATTGAACTTCCAGATTTCACAATCAAGTTTCAACTGCTTAGCAAGCAGTTTAATAGTAGATGTCAGGGACTCAATCAAAGCACTGCTTTTACATGGTCCAAACAACTGAAATGTATTGCCTTTTAGCTCTGGAGACTAGATGTTCAAAATCAAAGAGAGGAAAGAACCTGCTCCCAGCCTCTTGACTTGCATTTGATCATTTTCTCCCTGCGCCTCTTCTCACTGTCTTCCTTGTGTGCACGTGTATCTCTGTGTTCAAATTTCTCATTTTATATAGACACCAATGATCTGGACCAAGTCTCACACTAATGTTCTATCATTTTTTGAAAAAAAATTTATTTTTATTTTATTTGTATGAGTGTATTTCCTGTATGTTTATAAAGTGTACCCGTGTTGTGTGGTGCCCGTGAGGTCAGAAGACGGCATTAGATCCCCTGAAACTGGCGTTACAAATGGTTTTTAGCCCCTATGTGGGTGCTTGGAATTTAAGCTGGGTCCTCTGCAAAAGTAACCAGTGCTCTAAACTGCTGAGCCATCTCTCCATCCCCTAATATTCCTATCTTAATTAATTTGGTCTACAACTATCCTATTTCCACAAAAGGCTACATTCTAAGGTACTGATGTTCAGGAACTCAACATATGAATCTGGGGAATACAATTCACTCCCTAATGCCCTCTAAATCCAAAAATAAATCTCTGTAGCGAGGCACAAAGCTACTTAAAGTTTGTCTAATAAACTCTGGATTTTGACAAGTTAGATCAATCCTACATATAAACAGCTGATCTCATGAGTGGCTTTAAGGAGGTTGCTAAGAGGTTGGAATTGCACTGGTGACGTCTCCTGCAAAAGAATTCCCAAGTTGAAAGATGAAGAATTCAGGTCAAAGAATGGATTAAAATAAAACAATGAAAATAGAAAGATTTCATAGATAAAGAAGAATAAATATTATAGACTAAGTAAATATGCAGGCTCAGAATCAGGTTTGGATTTCAGTTCCAGCTCCTTCATTTATTTCATGGTCTTGAAGAAGTTACTAATGTTTCTAAGCCTTGATTTCATTTATTTGTAAAATGTACCCTTAAGGAAACTATCCAAGACCTCTAGATCTCCACATATGAATTTAAGATTGGTCAAACATGTTCTGCAAAGTACAGTTTTCATAGCAAGCTTCCTGGTGGTCAGCCCCCTCTTCCTTCCTGCTGAGGTAGGAGAAGCAATGGGACCCATAAATGACAAAACCTAACTTTAAAATACTCTCCTAATTTTTAACTCCCTCAGGCTCCCTAGGCTAAAATAAGAAGAATATCTGTTCTTCTCACATATCAACTTCAGAGGTCAGCAATACAAGGCTGGTATAGGACATCAAGATCTAAACTCCTTCAGTCTTTGTACTCCAATGCCCTAAGTAAGTAGACCTCCTCTTGTACCCCCAGAATGACCATTAGTTACCCTTGGGTTTCATTTCTTCAGTTCAAGCAGGATGAAGAGCTAAGGGCAAAGCCTTATGCTTGTCAAGTTTGTCCTTTTACATCAAATACCAGCAACTTTATTAATGGAGGTTTCCACTTGCATCTCTAAATTGTCCAGAGTGGAGTCTTGGGACCATTCTCAGCAGGAGCAGGGGTATGATGATGCCATGCCACATTATAGCGATGACTGAACAAAGACAGCCTTGCTCTTAGCATCTATTAAGTGGGGCTCGACCTATTCTGAGAATTTGTTCCTTCAGATTTCTCTAGGAGCTGTGCTCCTGAACAAAGGCCTTGCTCTCCCTTTATTGAAACTGTCCATCCAGCACACTATGCGAAAAGAAGTAGGAATCCATCTTATCAAAGAACTTTCCCTATCTAACCCCTACTGACCCAGAACAGCATACACAAACCACAAACAAATATGATCAATGCAATCACCTGTTGCTTACAGCATAAATGGGATAATCTGTTTCTTTAAATGAATATTTGCTGCTTTCAAGATGTGATAGTTTCACAGCAATGTTCTGGTCAGGGGCAAGGAAGGGTCAAGAAGGATTAAAGGTATATGTTTATCTTACAAAAGAAGCCCAAGGCCTAGTAAGCGTGTTTACATTATAAATAAATTGAGACAATCTTAAATGATCTCAAAACCTAAGATTAACTTTGGTTACAAGATTAGGTAAGATTCTATTTGTCCAGAAAAGCCATTCTCACAGTTCCACCTTGTTTGTTTCATAAAAGAAAAAGTGTGTCCATATTCCTACAGAAATCATTCCCAGAAAAGTCATTCTCACACTGGGGGGTGTTTTAAACTAGATATATTGTCATCTCTACCTAAAAGTGGGGTTTTGCTAATGAGGAAGTTACAGTAGGGGATTCTGTTTCATTGTGAAATTCTCTATAACTATTAATGTCAGGCTTTTTATATTATTATTATTACTAGTCTGGGTGTTGGGGAGTCAGTAAAGTGCTTCCCTTACTAACACAAGTACTTGAATGTAATCTTCAGAACCCATGTGAAAAAAGTCAGGTGTTGTGGTGTACCCTTGTAATCCCAGTGCTGAGCAGGCAGAGATGGGGGGGATCCCTGAAGCTCACTAGTGAGCCAGGCTAGTCTACTTGGTGAGTTCCAGGTCAATGAGAAGGCTTGTATCAACACTTCCCTAGACCCCTCCCCAAACAAACAAACAAACAAACAAACAAACAATAAAGGTGGTGTGGTGGTTTGAATGAGAATGTCCTCCATAGACTCCAAGTATTTGGACACTTGGTCCCCAGTTGGTGGTGCTGTTTGTGGAGGGTCATAGAACCTTTAGGAGGTGTGGCCATACTGGAGGAAGCACATCACTGGGGGTGGGCTTTGAGAGTATACAGCTTGCTCACTTCCAGTCTGGCCCTCTGCTTCCTGTGCCTGCTTGAAGAAGTGAACACTCATCTTTCTGCTCCAGCCATTCCTGCTACTGTCCTTCCCCACCATTATGGACTCTCTCTCTTTGGAACTGTAAGCCAAATAATTTCTTCCTTCTATAAGTTGCCTTGGTCACAACAGATAAGTAACTAAAACAAGTGGACAGGCACCTGAGAAATGACGCCTATGTCTGTCCTCTAGCTTCAACATGCATTGCTTGCTTGTGTGCACACATGCATGCACACATTTACTGGTCTGGAAAAATGCTTACAGTGTAATGCTAAGTGAGAAGCAAGACAGAACATATGTAATACCATCTGAATTTTTTCTTTTTTCTTTTTTGGTCTTTTTGAGACAGGGTCTCCTTGTAGCCTCAGCTGGCCTGGAATTCGCTATGTAGACTAGGGTGGCCTTGAACGCACAGGGATTTACCTGCTTCTGCCTCCTGAGTGCTGGGACTAAAGGCATGCACCACCATGCCTGGCCTTGAAATTTGGTTTTTAAAACATAATGTCATGAGGTTGGAGAGGTAGCTCAGAGGTTAAGAGCACTGGCTGCTTTTGCTGAAGATTCAGGTTCAGTTCCCAACATCTATGTGGCAACTAACTACTGTCCTACATTATAGCTTCAGGGAATCCAATGCCCTCTTCTGTCCTCCATGAGCATTGCACACATGGGTGCACTCATACATGAAGGCAAAACACTCATACACATCAAATTAAAAATTAAAAATATATATCATAGATATATCCCACACACATAGGAAATAATAAAAACATTAACAGTTGTTAACATCTACAGACTTGGCATTTCTCTCTAGAGAAGTATTAGACAATACACATAGCTTTTATTTTATTAAACCTTTTTTTACATTTTCTAAATTTTCTGCAATGAGTTTATAAGGGAATTTTTTTCCAGTTCCAGGGGAATCTGACGCCCTCTTCTGACCTCTGTGGCACTGCATGGCATGGGTGTACTCACATACATGCAGGCAATACACTCATACACATAAAATAAAAATAAATAAAAAATTTTAACAAAGAAAAAAGTTATTTAAAAAATTGGGGCTGGAGAAATGGCTCAGTGGTTAAAAACACTGATTGTTCTTGCAGAAGATCCCGGTTTGAATTCCAGCACCCACATGGCAGCTAACAACTGTCCATAACTCCAGTCCCAGGGGATCCGACAGCCCCTTCTGACCTCCACGGGCATTGCACGACATGGGTGCACTTACCTACATGCAGGCAATACACGCATACACATAAAATAAAAATAAATTAAATTAAAAAAAAATCTTGAAGGGTGGGTTCCGACCTCCACGGGTGTAGCAGTTATGACCTCGGCACACTGCCAGAGAGTGCCAAGTTCTGGCCTCCCTCTGGGATCCCTCTGGCACAGGGGCTGAGAACACAGGGGACTGCCTAAGAGCCCCATCCTGCCTCCACATGGTGATGAGCTTCCCCTGATT